AATCAGGCAGACTGCACAAAACAAGTCTGGGAAGACTGAACACGAGCTTGATTTGAATTCAGTGGATAGTTACAAAGATTCATCTCTGTGGCAAAGACAAAGACTGTACAAAAACCTAATGCACCTAAGTATTTAGGATGCCTTACTTGTTCAGTAAGTGGACTAAGTGGTTTAAGTGAGGTTTTTAGTCCAGAGAGACTCTTTAGTAAGACACAATCATGAAAAATTGATATGTCAGGCCAGGACTGGAGGTGAACGGGCAGAGGAAGCGGTGAAGAAAAACATATGCAGGCCATGGAGGGTTCAACAAAAAAAAAAAAAAGCAGGCTTCACCGAAAATGAAAAAATAGAGCACTGGAGGAAGACCAAAAACATCGAAGAGGAGGCTTGAAAAAGTGATTTTTACTGATAGTGTTACACCCCTCAGGTGCTCAATAATTAAGCAGCTGAGCACACTCTTGAGATCCAACTGTGATGTCAGCCAAGGCAGCCATCCATCATTCATCGCTTTAGGAATCAGGAGTGGAGATGGCACTTAATCACTCATTTTGTGGCAATGACGTCTCTTTTTTTTCCTTCAAGGCCTTTTATTTATTTATTTATTTATTTTGTACTGATTTTGTGTTGCAGCAGCTCATTATGCTCCCTGGGAAAAGCTTTCTTTAAAAAAAATGTTTTATTTCAGCGAGAGATTGTGCTGAATAAAGATGGCTCAAATTACAAAATTTTTTTTCTTCAAATAAATCCTTCCCATACAAATTTCTTGATAATGCACAGAGGCTTATAAACAGAAGGAAAAAATAACATATACGTGTTTTTTACAAGGCTAAAAAGGATTTAAAGCCTTGCCCTCACTTTTAGTCTGTGGGCGCTGTCTGTCTGTGTGCCTGAAGGCATGTGATTGTTGCATTGCACTCATAATAAGCCTCTGAGTGACTGGCAGAACCAATATCTTGCTATCGCTTTGCCCTGCGCTCACTCAGGCGCCTCGGTGTGCAGCCCCCGTCATGCATCTCAATTCCACAAACACAATGTTCGGCGCCCAGAGAAGGGACCTGCTTTTTGATTAATGTCACCATGACAACTACATAATTCATGAATTGTATTAGCGATCTATTTGTCATTTGCAAATCATAATTTAGGATGTGTATTTGAGAAGGGGTAGGAAAAACAGAGCTATGCGCTGCGCTATACGCACCACCCTCCCCAAAAAATAGCACTCCTAACGGAAACGCTGACGTTTCCCTGTCCTAATCTGGGAGGCTGGGAGCTGCGTGTCTTGTGAGAAGGCCGTTTTAGCTTCATGATGAACTCTCAGCTCTGCGCATTTGGAAAGCTACATGCTAATTCCCCCGTCTTCATCTGTCCATGTGTCTGTCTGTTGACAGAGGCCTGGCCTGGCTCTACACTGACACCATTTGGTGCAACAGTGAAAGAGGAATCTCATTAAAGCACTAATGCAGCTCATTTGCCATTTGATCAATGGCTAGATTTACACAGGAACCCTAAATTAAATGGGATTTTCAACCATATGCGAGCCAGATGGCAGGGTTTCTCATGTTTATGTGGCTGTAGGCAAATAAGATCTGGGGGTTAGGCAGAGGTTTTCCATCAGATTTATGCATTATTTTGCTTTCTGCATGAATCTGACCCTGAGAAAGAAACTGCATTGCAGATGACTTCATTATTTTTTGTCTCACTTCCGTACTTAAGTCTTTCTCTTGCAGGGATTTTTATGCTTTTGGTTCACCTTGCTCCAGTGCTTTTCCTTTTTACCTTGAAGCTCTGCTCACAAAAAGAAAAACCCCAGCAGCTTTTAAAAGTCACACTTTTTTGACTTTGAGTGAGCCAACTTAAAGGAGAGGCGATCAGAAGGAGCAGCGTGAACACTGAACATTTTTTCGTTAATCCTGTAAAGATTTATGGAAAACGAGATGAAGCTTCAAGCGCTGAACTTTAATGCTCAAGTGAAATTTACATATGAGGGCTCTGCTCCACTTTCTGCCACAGCCGAGCCACATACATGTCACTTATGATATAGCCCATGAAATCTACTCTAATGTTCCTGGTGTCTTCTTGCTGGCATCAGTAATTAACCGCCTCCACAGATGCTGCAGAGCTGCTATTTGAGAATCTGCTGAGGGATTTACACAGTGAATGTGGAGCTTTGGAACTGACAAGTGTAGTAAAAGGTCATGTCAAAATACAACTGAATACATCAATAAATAATGTTAACAATTAAAATGGAGACAATGTTATGACAGTAGAAACACTCAGCTTCCTAGTAGTTACAGAGGCAACTTTTTAGTCTGGGCTTGTTAGGATGAAATGCTGTTACTGCTGTTGCAAAAGAAGTAAAGAAGCTTTCTCAGAAGACCGAGTTTCCCACTTACTCAATCCAGTCCTTAATTGTGGACACCGGTAACTTTATTACCTCAGAGATTTTGATCGATATTGAAACGATAGCATCAAAGAGCTGCTGCAGATGTGTCAGCTTCACATTCACAATGAAAATCACATCCAAAAGTGCTCCTGAGATATGGAGACTGTATGCCAAGACAATATCCACACATTACACCACCAGCAGCCTGAACCGTTGATACAAGGCAGGGTGGATGTTGTTCCCTCCCATCTGAATGTTGCAGCAGAAATCAAGACTCATCTGATCAGACAACGTCTTTTTTCCAGTCTTTTGTTGTCCAGATGAGATTGAGTTTTCTGTTCTAATCTTACATAAGTCTCATCCGGTCTTTTGCTGTTGTAGCCCATCTGCTGTGTGCTCAGAGTTGCTCTTCTGCATACATTTTGTAACAAGTGGTTACTTGAGTTATTGTTGGCGTCCTATCAGCTTGAACCACTCTGGTCATCCTCCTCCACTCAAAGAATAGTACCCATGCTCGTGTTCTTACTGTATTACATAACTTGGTTTCATTCTTATAGCCACAACTCATCATCTGTTATTTAATGTAATCTCTTCCTCAGTGTTTAACTTGCCTTGACTTGAGATTGTGATCAATAAACATGCGTCAGAGGGTTTTTTTTTTAATTCATCCTCATTTTAAAGTATTTATCAATAATGCAGAGAAACTTATACAAGCAGAAAAGTAATGCATAAATGTTTCAATTTGACAAAACGCAGGTGTTTCAATTTAAAGCCTTACTGTTCATATATCTTTACATAACTGAAAATTGCTGCTTGCATCCTTTGTGTAGCTCGCTGGTGGATTGGCTTTATCTGTCGAGTCTGGACAGATACAAGCAGAGGTTATTGGCCGGTATTAGCTAACATGTTCTTGATATACACCAGATACATTTTCATAGTAGAAAGAAAGTGCAGTAAAAGAGATTAGAGGCTCAAAATGCATTGCTTACTTGTCTGCAGCACATGTAACAGAGTAACATTGCAGCTGAACAAACAGTGGCGTGGTGTCAGCTGTGGTCTTCAAGTCGCCAACTCTAAGAATAAATTCAGAGTTATTTACCAACCCCTTTAATCCCTTTCCCTTTTTAACAACTCTACCATATCAGCTGTTATATGAGTATAAAAATCTTTTGGTCCTTTAAAAGTAGTCAGTCTGGTCTGGGTTTAGTTGAATAACTCTTAAGTAGCATTATTACGTTCCTAACAAGTCCTCCACAATAAAAGACTAAATTTCTTGTGAGTTACTCCAATTCAGAATAACACATCAAAACTCACTTGATTAAAAAAAGTCTCCATTTATACTTTTTTCTCTTAATATTAGGAGACGATTGTGGTGCCATTCAATAAAAAGCAAATCTGAGTTTGGAGAAGAAGTAGGTAATGACTGGTGTTCCCAGCCAGTTGGCTGGCCAATCAAGCACAGTATTAACATGGTCAGCAAACCATTTCATAGCAGTTTTGGCACAGTGGGCAGGTGCTAAGTCCTGCTGGAAAAGGAAATCAGCATCTCCATAAAGCTTATAAGCAGATGGAAGTGGATGAAGCGTGCTGAAAAGATTCTGCTACACGCCTGCATGGACTCTGGATTCGAGCATCACGGATCAACCAGACATGGCATGATCACAGACCCCAGGATCTTGATTTACTAATTAAATGAAAAACTCACTTTAATCTAAAATGACGACTTTGGACCACTGAGCATCAGTCCAGTTTCTTTTTTCCTTAGCCCAGATCATCGCCGTAATTTTGTGCTGAACATTGGGGGGTCGAGATCTCTGTCTAAATAAATAAATAAATAAATCTGGGTAAATTCCCAGATGATTAAACATGCAACTATTTTGCTGGTAATACCTGAAATGAGTAAAGAAAATCAACAGCCTACTTATGCAAGATAATTCATAATTTTATTGGGGGGGTTATATTGGTTCGGTCTGACTATTGGGGGGGTCATAACCCCCCTATCCCCCCTGGAAATTACGCCCCTGGCCCAGGTAAGACGCTGCTGATGTTGTCTCTGTTTCAGTTACAGCTGTTTCCTAAAGACACTGTTGATAGTGGCTCCTGAAGCACTGATGGCAACATCAGTCCATTCCTTGTGAAGCACTCCCAGGTTCTTGAATGGACTTTTCCTGACAGTCTTCACGAGGCTACTGTCATCCCTGTTTCTTGTGCACCTTTTCCTAACACACCGTTTCTTTCCACTGATATGTTTCGCTACAGCACAAACAGTGAGCCTTTTCAGGAGCCACCTTCTGTGGCTCACTCTCCTCGTGGAGGGTGTTAATGATCGTGATCTGGGCAACAGTCAGTTCAACAGTCTTTCACATGATTGTGTTGCATGCACTGAACTCGACCAAGAGATAAACAATATTTATAATTAATATTCTAGGAGTCTGGATTTCTAATTTTCATGAGCTAAAAGCCAGAATCACAAAAACGCTTTGAAATTGTTGTCTTTGTGTGCCTTAAATACAGAATATTTGCAGGATTACCTCTTTGAATTAAAATGAAAAAGAAAACATTTTCACAATATTCAGCTTTTTTTTATAGGTGCACTAGATATATAGATGGTGTACAGTCAGTTTTATTCATAGTATGTACTAAGGAGGGTGTTAATTGCTTCACAAATGAGTAAGATCTCAAATGACTGATTAAAGCATTTATTCATGTATTCAAAAATACTAGGAGGATCTTGTATTTAAAATATGCAGACACACAAGAAGAGGCATGAAAACGGTTTCCATGGAGCACATAATATAAAACATTTGTTATTAATTCAGCTGGGGTTAGTCTACACTTCTGTCTTGTGCCGTTGTGCTGTCGTCACTCGAGTGCTGATTATCTGGAAGACAAAAGAAAAGAAATACTAGGTCTACCTTTGAGGGATTTTAGATGATGTGATGATTCTGTGCAGTTTATTTTTCTTTACAGTTGACTTTGGCTTAATGTTTTTCTTATTACCCCAAAGATGTGCTCGCAGCTCACTTGTTAACACAGGAGAAGTTTAAAAATATCCATCTGAACAAGCTGGTAAATGTTTTTCTTCTGAATAATCCCCTTTGTTACTTATTTACAGTTTTCCTTCTTAAAGAAAAAAAAGAAAACATGAACATGAATCTTTCTCAGCCCCCTTTCTCCTCCGCACCTTTCACTTCATCCTCCTCGGCGCTCTCCTGACCGGTCAACGGGGCGTCTGCTTCCTGAGATGCACCTCTCTCTCCCTCCCATAGGACGGAGGCGTTGTTCTGGCTGGAGCGTAGCCGCTGGCGTGGATGTGTCTTCTGGTCACCGGGACTAAAAGACTGTGAAACTCCCGAGCCTGCTCTGGCCAATCCCAACCCCCAGCCGTGACGGGATCCCAGTTTACGACGGCCCCCGGAGCCGGCGCGCGTAGCTGGTGCGCCGGGAAGAGAGACCTCGGGTTCTGTCTGGGATGCAGATTTTCTCAGGGGAGAAGGAGAGACCGGAGCACTGCGAGGGTCTGGAACTATATGAGAAGGATTCATAAACTATTATAAAGGAAACCTTAAACAAAATATAAATTCACTGTTGCAGTTGATAATTTTATCGTTAATCATTCATTCAGAAATATTCATGTACAGGATCCTCTGCATTTGTGTTTAGCCAGATGAGCCCATTTACAGCACAAAGATAAAAGGTAGAATTTTTCTTTTCCAGTGCCAAAGCAGTTTCAGGGACTCAGGACAAATATAGGTTCGAGAAAAAAAAGAAAAGAAAAGATAACTGTGGCTCAGGTGGTTGGCCTGTATTGCCATTAATGGCGAGGTTATTAGTTTGATTCTTTCCCTCCTCGTGTCTAAGTGTCCTTGAGCCACACATTAAGCCTGTGCAATCGGCAGCACTGCCAGCCATCAATCCATGAGTGTGAGACCGACAAGTGATGTGAACCTCTTTGGTTTGATGCAGCAGAAAAGCAGAGAAAAATCAGTTCCTAACCCTTCATTTTAAACATTTATTTAGCAATTAACAAGCCACTATATTACATGTATAAACAACTAAATGTGCATGCTCTATAGCAGGCATTCGTGGCATATATGTAAAATATTCTATTATTGAAAAATAGATTGTAATGTCAACATGCCGATAATTGCAGAGGAGAATTTATTAAATCCTCTTGTTCAACATTTAACATCAACTGTATGCAAACAGATAACGGCTGGTTTATAAAATATTACATAACACGTTCATTAACAACAATAACATTATTAATGATGTATTATTTTACACTAATAAAATATAGCATCATAACACATTTTGGAATTATTGATTTTAAACACTTAAATGTGTGCTCATGCCTGTTTCCAGCTACATTAGTGTCTATTCTAAGCTGTTTGTTACGTGTTTTTATGCACTACTAATAAATACTTAACAGTGCCGCCGAGAACTCGAGCACATTTTCAGCACTAACAATAACAATGAAAATGTATCATTTAGGACATTAGGCTGAAAAAATGCTGCATCTTATCTTGTTCAGACTGGAGTCTTTTTTTTTGTTTTCCTATTCTATTTTCTATTGAAATGGAAGTGTGTCTAAAATAGCATATCTCTCTTGTTATATGTATATATTCTTAGGAATTGAAATGCGAGGTGTGATAAGAACGATATCAACAATAAGTTATAATGAGCACTTTCCAATATTGCCTAGAACTTTAAGTTTTCTTAAAAGCAGAGGTTAAAGTCGGCAAGAGTGCATTCTGACACCTTCATAAATCAGTAATTAAATGTGATAGACAGTTTAATACAAAATACTATAAATCAAGTTAATTTTTCATGCTTCGTCTAGCTGATGCTGTGGAGACAGTTAAGTACCGCCTGTATACATCATCTTTTTTTTCCTCTCTTTTCTTCGCTGTCTTGCATCCACGCTACAGATGTTAACAAAGCTGTTTGTCCCAGTATTTCAGCATCTAGTGTTTCTAAAGAGAGAAGCGAGCATAAACAGACTAACCTTTTTCTTGAAATGGCAGGTATTCAAAGAGCTCAACTAGTAAAATCCAAAACACCACTTAAGCTGTGCAGTGTGGTGCACAATGAACCTGCTAGCTAGAGTTGTTGTACTTCTCAGGGGGAAGAAAAATATCAGCTTTCTTCTCTGAGACAGAGAAGGTTAGACAAAGATGTAAGAAAGACAAGACAGGAGAGGAAGATGAGAGATCATTTTTAAAGGCAAGGACAGCTCTGCAAGTCTTTTCCATCTTTTGGCTGCTTCCTTTAAAGGATCATCTGCTGCCATCGCACCCTGTCCCTAGCATCCTCCTCTGTCACACCAACCCTCTGCATGTCCTTCACTACATCCATGAACCTCAGAGGAGGTGGAGGTGTTTATGCAAACCAATTAAGTGATGATAATTTCATGTTAGTTAAAGTTTAAGCTGGACAGTAGTTTGCAGAGTTGGGACTGATGTCCAAGGTGACATTTACTTTACATCCTGGCTAGCATCAGAGACATTACCTGAGAGATGAGGCACTGAAACAATTCAGAATTTAAATTTATTTAAATCATATTTTTATTTTTATTTTTTTAATACTCACTGACCATCAATTTGAAAGTTAGTTAATTTATATAATGCTTCAAAATAAGTGCCTGCATCCAGGAGGAGTCTATTGGGAGTCATCAGTTTGAATTTAAGCTGATGATGTTCTTTAGTAACAATTTCACTATTATAGTGGGTTAGTGTTGGAAAGCAGCCACGGTGCTACTTTAAAATCTGCTTATATACTGTAGAAATGTAGTTGGCTAAATCCACAGAGAGCAGTAAACCTCAGAGAAGCAACAGCAAAGGTCAGCTGATCACAGCTTGTACACAAAAAACAAATCTATCAGAGCTCATAGTAAAAGTTAGTTGACTTTGACTCTGCTGCACTGCTATACTGAAGCTTAGGGTTCCCCCACCTGCCAAATACACCTGTTTAAAAGCATAAATGATATAATAAAATATTCCTTTCTAGATAATCTAATGCACCTTTTTTTAACAAAAGAGCTTAGCATTGATACAAGCCTGATCGTTGAAAGCAAGAATACTACTCCAAATCCAACCTGTCATGTTAAACAGCTGTGAATCAGTTAAATGTTTGTGGTAAACGTCACCCCAAACATATTAAACAGGAAGCAGTTTTGAGAAATGTCTTAGCTGGCTCTTCACTTCAGGGAGTTTTTCTGCTTTTCTCTGCTTGTTGTGAAGATGAAAGATCAAGTCTTTCTCTGGCATAAAGAGAGACTCGAGTTTAAGAAATCCAGGGGTTTACAGAAAACACACTGCGAGGGAAATAAAAATTAAGTGAGAGACAATGTTGGTATGTCAGAAAGAGAGAAAACACATCAAGAATGCAGGTTGAGGATTAAATCCCGGCTTTGAAAGCGTCTGCAGAGAGTTGTCTTTCTGACTCTCAGTCAGTAAATGCATAAAAAGCGAATGAAGCCTCACGAATCTCTTTCCTTTCAACATGTGGTTAGCAGAGAAAGCCAGCCTCTGTGAGTCTTGGCACTCTATGGGGAGAGATCTAAGGAGAAGAGAGTGGTATCAATGCCGACCACACTTGGTAGTCATGAGATGATTTGTATGCATGCCTGCAGGCTCGCTTGATGGGCTGAGCATGTGAGCATATCTTTGTGAAAACCAGTCAGCTGCTGTTTGTGTGTTTGTCGTTGTGCAGGAAGGGCAGGGGGGGGTATAGTGAGCTTGGTTCTGTGGGTGTGTGTGAGATCTCACCAGGCTGAGGTGCGTGTGTGTCTGATGTAAATTCAGCGCTGTCGGCCAGGTTTTCCACGCTGCCCGCGGCGGTGAAGAGGGTGCGTCCCTCTCTTCCTCCTCCTCCTCCCCGGGGTTTGATTAGCTTCTTCATCCTATCTGCAATCCAGTTAGATTTCCTACGAGGACACAGGGGAAAGGGACCATTTACAAAGAGATGAGCTATGGGAGCGTTTGTGTCTGCATGCACTGCACACCCTGATTTTTCCAGAAACAATGGGAGGAAGCCAAGTGTCAGGGGTTTCATCTTGTTCACAAAATGCTTTTTGTGCCATGTATCGTTTATGCGCCAGGATTTCACCTGTGCAACTGGAAACGCTATAATTAAAATGTCACCACCATAAAAAGGTGTAAAAGGTACAGGAAGAGAATGGTCAGCTGTCAACATGTCTGGACGCCAAAATCCAAAATCCACCCCTGACAATATGATTCTGTATTCTTCTTCATTGGTTTTTAACTGACACATTTACTATCAGATATGTTATCCATCTCAAGTTAGTGTTTTATTTTCCTGTAGTGATGGATTTTGTGATAAAAGGGTTTATCAGAATCATGCAACATAACACGGCAACTAGGGATGCAACGATACCAATTTTTTCAAACCGATACTTGGATCTGAGTACTTGCTGATACAGAGTACAAAAACGATACTTCTACCACACACACACACAAATGCAATGAATTGGAAGACAGGTTTTATTTTATTCTCTGCCAATAATAAATAATATCTTAATAAAAATGACCACAAAAAAATTTCAAGTGAAAAATAAGCACTTCTGTTAAATTATTGCAGAGTCTCCACATTGTAATTTCAACAAAATATCACTGAACTATTGTCTCGAGCTTTTGGAACAATAAATAAACACTTCTGTTTGGAATAAAATAAATACAAATTAGGTTTGAGAATAAAATAAACTTTTAAATTGTTGCAGAGTGTCCATATTGTAAACAAACAAACAAAATAACGAAAGTATTTGGCATTGACGAAC